CGAAGTTAACACCTCGTGCAGGGCAGTCTCTGTAGATCTACCCGCCCTAAAGGCATGTTGAAATCTGCTTAAATGAAATTTCATTAGCGCGGTGCCTTCTAGATAGTCCACTATTACCTCTTCCATGGCTTTAAACATGAAAGAGGTAAGGCTAATTGGCCTCAATGACTAAGCTTCTGTGTAATCCTTCTCTCCTGGTTTTGGTAGAAAAGTCACCCTTGACTCTCTCCTAGCTTTGGGAACGTACCTTGTTGCCAGTGACGTCCTGAATATATCCTTGAGCATAACTGCGAACAGGTCAATTCCCCATAGCAGGAGTCCTGGAATTATGCATTCCTAACTGCATTTGTGGTCACTATCCTCTCTGCATCAAATCTTTCTTCCCTGTTCATTCACCTTTTGGGAGAAGGCCAGTGATCATCAAATTTGAAACTTTCTGGAAAATGGGTCTCCATGAGAGTACTCAATGACTCTCCTACGGTCTCCGTCATTGTACCATCCTTCTTTCGGATTAAACCAAGTTTTGAGACCGGGTCTTTAGTGACCATCTTTTGTAACTGACTTACTTCAGAGATCCCTTTCATGCTCGAACAGAAATTCCGCAATGACTTCCGTTTTCGGTTGCGTAGTGCTTTCTTAAATTCATGCTTTTTGGCCTTGTTCAGATGCCATGATACGGACTTATTCTCCCTCCTGTATATGTTGAAGGCTTTTCATGTCTCCTTTTTTATTACGTCAAGGTCCTGATTTCACCAGGGTGTCGACGACTTTTCTGCAATGCTGGTTTAAGGACAAGCGTTTTCGAATGCATTAATCATCGCAGCAGTAATTGCTTTGACTGGGAAGTGGTTCATTAGAGTCGTATGGCAGATAGGCCGACGCTACGATAAAGGTGTTTGCATCACTCCCTACTCTTACCATAGTAAGGTCTGGTGAGCATAGATGAGGCAATTGGATGCAGTGTATTCCCTTCCTCACCATTATGCATGTCCTATTTTTCCAGCTGTCTGTGGAAATAACAGAGTGGCAACTGATGTAGCGAGTCCCTAATTGCGTTTTGAACAAACCAGGGCTCTTGAATCAGTAATAGTTAGTTAGTTAGTTAATACTTCTTTATTAATAATTTAAAAACTTACAATAATTATCCATACTTTATACATTGTTTACTTAAAGCTATGACTAATGTCGTCAGCTTTACCTAGCGATTGCCTACTCTTCTTATCCCTCTAATCTTGTAGTGAGTTTGATGTTATAATTAGTAGCTATTGTTGGTGTGAATACATAAGTGCGGTTAAAAGATCTCATCTATAATTTGTTACCTATATTTTATCGCCAGTTCATTCCATTAAGGTCACCGTGCAATTCCGTTTGGCTCAAAGTCGTTTTTCCAAAATACTTGTATCTTATTTCCTTTAAAATTGGGCAGATTGCGAAAAAGTGTTTAACGTTTTCCGTTTGCTGTTTATTACATAGGCTACAAACAGATAGTGCACAACTTACGTAGGGCACATAATCGAGTTTGATGAGTTCAGTACGAGATTTGAAAATTGTACGAATATTTTCCACAGTATATTTATTATTAAAATAATTCGATGTCCCCAGATTGTACGTTAGTTCTCTGTATGTTTGTCTAGAGTAGCTTGTATTGGTCTTATAAGCAAATCGGTCTCTATCACTTTGATCCTGTTTTAGAAGAATGCACTGCTGCCAGTCAATCCAACCATTCATGTTCTCCAAATTCAAATTTTCTTCATGTTCCTCGACTAAATTTAACCATGCCGCAAAATACGAACTCCTTTTACCTAAAAAGTATGTCGCTAACCGTTTGATGAGTCTGCTATCTGGGTGGTTCATAATGTAGTATGCATACATTTACGTATATACATTTAATCTAACGCAACTTCAGTAAATATACTTTGTTGCTAAATAGTCTAAAAAGACTATATAATTTACTTAGTAATGCACAACTACATGAATTATGCCTGGCCAGCACATTCCTGTTGCTTAAGCACACATGAAACAGCAATGCCTTCATGTTATTTAAAACCACGCTATGTGCGATAAGATTTTATGTACGCATGTTTACCATTCCCTTACATACATAATAAGTGCTAGCGTAAGTTATTTTTGGATGTTAAGTTTAGCTCTAAGCTTATGAAGCAGAGCATAAGAATTCATTCTGATTCCAACCTGCATACCCATATAATATTTTGTATTATTAAATTGTAGTTCACACAATAATAACAGCGTTAATATATTGAAAGTGGGATATTAAAGTGCCGATATGTAGTGTTGATAAGTCAGTTTCCAGGTGGATTGCGTAGTCTGGCGTGTTGACCGGTAGACGAAAGATACGCTTGATAAAATAAGTCAGCAGTTTTTCCACCTCATTATACTTTTCAAAACCCCAAACTTGGGGAGCATAATTCATAATTGAGTTGACAGCAGCTTGGAATTTAACTGAAAGAGCTACCGTGTCATTTCCAAAAGCTCTTCTCCATGTGCTGTTTATTGCTATTTTTGATTCTTTTAGCCTTTTATTAATGTGTGTTTCGAATGTTGCACTATATGTTATCCAAACGCTGGTACAAATTTCCGCCCTACATAAACTTATAACTTTTACTAAAGAAAAAACAGAAAATATAAAATATTACAATGCAGTAATTTAGAATTTCATCTGCATAAAATTTATTTATATATTCAAGATTGCAAAAACATAAAGGCGTAAAACTATTTCATTCATAAAGTTCACAAACAAGTCTCAACGAAGCAACCAACATCCACACGCACAGCCAGCACAAGTCAAGCCAAGCTCACGGCAGAGCCGTTACGTCGCAAATAAATGCATTATTTGTTTACGCACATAGAATTATACTTGTGCGGTTGTGCGTGCAACTACTGAAGTAGAAGTGATTTCATATAAATAGAGGAGAGTTTTGTATGAAAGTCACTTAGCGCCAGCACACCGAAGTGAGTAGAGACCAACTGCATAGCTAAGTCGCCAAAGTCTTTTGAATCAAATAATATTCTGATACTATAAGCTAAATAAATTTGTATTGAGTAGAATAATTTTGTATCACGCCTCTGACGTTTTGATGTCGTTGGGTAGAACCCAATGAGTAGAATAATTTTGTATAACGCCTCTGACGTTCTGATGTCGTTGGCTAGACAATAGGAATCAATATTTTCTGTAGCATAACAGGTAATAATTATTTATAATTTTTTAGTTATTTTTGATGCTTTCTTGATTCAATAAAAATTTTAAAATTAATACCAAACGGGTTTTAATTTTCCCCTCCTTGGATACCACTTTTCATCGCATGCAAGTCGTCTTGCATGTTCTGATCTGCATACATCAGAACCTTTATTTGCATGCCATGAATAACGATGCCACCGTTTAAAAAGTTAACCAAATCATCTAAAAATAAAGTATATAAAACTGGACTTAAAACACAGCCTTGCTTAACATCAGACTGTGTAAGAAACCAATCAAAAACAATATTTCCATCCGTAATATATCCAACTTTTCTTCGTCAAAGTGTCGCAGGATCATTGCCGATGCTGCTTTACTGTGATGAATGTTCAGTTGTTCAACCTTTATGGTTTTCTGGTATGGGTAGAAGCAATTTCAAGCAAATGTTTTTTTATACGTTATATACCAGAACTTCAAATTGTTTGACTACTTCCAAGCAATTATTTTTGTCTACGAAAATAAAATAAGCAAAATGCAAATGCAACACCAAAAATTCAAAATATTTTCATTAACTATGCTTTCGACTTTACACAATTGTACAGAGCTGCGTGCACACACATTTGTATTGTGTGCGGTTTTGTTGTTGCATATGCATTCTGTTTACTTCATTTTCGTAGTCAAAAATAAGCATTTCAAACCCTGCTTCGTGCACACACATTTGTACTGTGTTTTATTGTTGCATTTGCATTTTGCTTATTTAATTTCGTAGTCAAAAATAATTGCTTGAAAGTAGTCAAGTAATTTCATTATTTTCTAAAATAGCAGCTCAGTAAAATTTTATTCTTTATTTAATAATATTTACTGCCCGTACTTACCAAAGTCCAGCAGACCGATTACACTAATCGTTAAATCTAAAACTCCATCGCTAAAATTCTTTAAATGTGTTTTAGCTACTTTTGCAATTCTGCTAACTCATTACGCTTTATTTCTATTCGCTAATTTTCTCAACTTTCAAAAACAGCTGATTCCTCTGGATAAAACGCTAAATCTCCAAATTTCGTATTGTGCTAAATTCTGCTAAAACGACTAAAATTTCTTCTAATTTGATTGTTTTTGGCGGTTATGTTTTTATTGTCGCTAAAAATAAAAGTATTATTTTTTAAACAAACTGACATATTACTTTGTACTTATTTAGTATATTGCCCTTATTTATTTAGTAATTAAGTTATTGTGATAGAAACTTTCATTTAAAGTTAAAATGTGAAAAAAATAATCATTGTTTTAAATTACATATATATCAATCTGGCAACCACTGTGTGTGGACTGCTTTTACCTGTTACCAAGTTGTTGTGTCTTCTTGTGCGAGCAAGCGTCGTGTTCGGTCGAGTTTCTTGTCGTGCAGTTGATTTGTATTTTTGAATTAATGTATTAAGTAAATATTAAAACATCATATATATTGTGAACTAAAAATATTAAAAATAAAATTTTGATGTGAAGAAAAACAGACTACGGCCTTAAAATTAAAAAATCGCATTATTCGAACAGTTTTTTGGCATCCCTTGCGGGGAGCAACATATCTTTTGCGTTCAATTGTGTTGCTGCCTACGAATATCACGTGCTTCGTCTAGCCACTGGGCATATTTCTCAAAGTTATAGCCACTGGACGTATCTTTCATATTTATAGCCGCTGGGCATATCTATCAAATTTTATAGCCGCTGGGCACAATTATTTACTTTCGAAAAGCCGCTGAGCACAACGGCTTACATTGCATATAACAATCACAGTTGATTCGCATAAAATCTGAAAATGCAAAAAATCACAAGAAAATTGGAAGCTACGCAATCCATGCTGAAAAACTTCTCCACCAACATACGGAAAACGGCAAAAAGCAAGCAAATAAAAGGTTTCTTCACTGCAAGAAAGAGTCTCTTGGAAAGGTACTGGATGCAGTACAAGGAAGCTCGAGAAAATTTGTTGGTCGATATTTATGACGGTGCAAAGGTGGAAGAAGCGAGTGACTCAATAAAAGCGTTAGTCAGCGAAGACAGTTCCATGGAAATTGAAATAATTTATTCGGAAATGATGGGAGAGCTAATCGATGCGTTAGCGAGCACTGAAGTTATAGACTCTCCAGGTAACAACGAAACTGTAATTAAAGGTGTGTCAAGCATGGAATTGACGTCTAACCTGCCACGTATTAAAATTCCGTCGTTTGATGGTAATTATCTGCACTGGTACGCATTTAAGGATTTATTCACGTCAGTTGTATCAAATAACGTTGCATTGTCTAATACACAGAAACTTCAATACTTAAAAGATGCGTTAGTGTTGGACGCTCAACACGCCCTAGACAACATTACTACAACAGATGCACATTGGGCAGTAGCATGGAGTTTACTCGTCCGCAAGTATGAGAACAAGAGGATCATTCTTAATGCGTGTTTAAAACAAATTGTTAATGTAACAACGGTGTCTGATGGTTTACCAAATAGTTTACGCTTGTTATGTGACACCATCACGTCAGCTGTGCGTGCGTTAGAATAATTGGGTCGTCCAGTACAGCATTGGGACGATTTTGGTTGGCCTTCTCCAAAAATTAGACACGAAAACACGCTCAGTTTGGAAGCTGTCAACAACTGGTTTAGAACAAATTCCAAAGTTTGAGGAGCTGGTCAATTCCCTAGAAAATCGAATATATTCGCTGGAGGTAGTTAATAGCATGACCGATAACTCTAATCAGGAGAAAAAGTTTGTAACACTTATCAGAACAAAGGGGTTCGTGAAAAGCCATCATACCACTGTTCAACAATGCGTGCATTGCCAAGGTAAGCATTTGCTGGCATATTGCGCAGAATTTCTCAAATATACCGGAAAAGACCACTGCAGCGACTAAGAAATACACTGTCACATCAAATAACACATACATTTCCAGTGCTAATCAAGGTGCTCGAACTTTACATCTACAGACTGTTTTAATTGGCACTGCATTGATAAAGGTAAGGAGTCCTTCTGGCCAGAAGCTTATTGTGCGAGCTCTGGCCAGTTATCATCCTTCTAAAGTTATCATCCTTCAGAATCATCCTATCCATTGGCATTTCAGTTGCTGGGATTTGTGCAGCCAGGATATCAGATTTTTTGCTGTTGGTTTGAAGACCAGTCATTCTGTTTGTATTTACTCTAAGAGCAGCCCTCTTCGCCTGTTATTGCACATAGATATGAAGAGGTGTGAGTTCCAAGAGTACTTCAATTGATGACGTTTGACATGTTTTCATTGCTCCTGTTATGCTTTTACATGCAAGTCGCTGTACCTTGTTGAGTGTGTTGTTAACGCTTTGCTGTTTTGTGCAATTCTGCCAGACTATTGATCCATAAATTACCATAGGACTGATTATTGCTGTATCCATCGCAGTGACTTTGGTGTACATTCGCAATCCTTACCTGCGATGGATCTACATGTCATAAAGGCTTTGGTTGCTGATATAGATATCCACGACTTTTTCTACTGCTTTAAGTAGGAAGGATGTAAGGCAGATTAGTCCAAAGGATTTCAGGTGAGTAGGATCCCTCTTACCCGCCTTCGGAATGAAGACCACTTTTACCCTCCTATACATAGCCGGTATATGGCACGGTATATGGTGTTTTGCCTACATTACATATTTCTAATTTCTTACTAGTTATAAACTCTAAAAGGTAGTCGTTTCTTGTATTGGTGTTTGTGCTTTCCCATACATCGTTGTGCGCATTTGATTCGCAACCAATTATAAGTGACATATTCGTTCTCTCGCAGTAGTGGATCCAGGGTACTTGGACCAGCGCTATGCTCAAGTTTGATTTGAACGTAGCCCTTGCAATAACTGCCGATGCAGCTTTTGCATGGTGTAGATTTATTTGGGCGACTTTAGTGCTGGTCATCAAGTGGCTATTCTTTCTTTGCTCTTCTGCCAGATTATCGTCGATGTCTGACAGAGAGATTATGTTGGCTATCGGGCGCCAATTTTAGTAGGGGAGAGATCTGGGGTATCAATGTCCTCACTCTTGTGGGGTAGCGAATTGATATTCGCAATCCTCTCACTCCACCACATCTCCTCCAGCACTTGTTCCACTGGAGTTGCGGGTAACGTTCCTTCAGCTGGTATGGTTCCTCATTTTTACACCAAATTTCCGCCTACATAAATATACATCGAAATACATTAATAATAATTTAACTGTTCATTATTATTTTTACTAATATTAAATTCACTAATATTTAATTTATTGGGAATATTAATAATAAATACCTTTTCACTACCATTTCACGGACGTCACTTGAACTTTTTTTTAAGCAAAAGAAAATAAATTTCGTTTAATTAAATAATTTTACAAAATTATTATTATAATTTTAATTTTTTTAGTCAATTAATTTTATTTATCTAAATAAATTTTATTAAATTTAAAAAAAAAAACATTTCCAAACAACAAGAAACGTCAAAGCATAGCTGCTTTGACGACTCTGAACATAGCTACTGCCCGATATTGTTTTCTTCGGTTGGTTTGGGGCAGCCATTTGCGTGACGTCCTTCGGCTGTTGAGGTTTGTCGTTCCCTCTTTTCTTAACCGATTGAAATTCGATCGGACTGATTTTTTGGTCAGACCTCTTTTAAGAGTCTTGATTGCCTTTTGGCCGATTGAGTGTCTTTTTCTTGGCCGCATCAGGCGTTAAGCCTTCTTTGAGATAACGCAAGTACCATTTGGTACCCGCACCACTCAAGCCAGTAGATTTACTGGCGTCGCGAAAGCTTTGGCCGAAGGTTAGTCAAGTGCTTGTCAAGGGCTGTGGTAGTGGTGTTTGGATGGTTGCCTCTTTCGGTGTAACCTTCCAGCCCACAATTCCTTGACTTTCTTTTCGTAACAGAGATTCCGTTTTAAATTCAATTAACAAAGAGCTAGTTTTGTTCCTAGCTTTTTTACCCTCAGTGTATTTTTCTACTTTCCGTTTTAGAAAAACTACCTGGCGATCGGTATGTTGGATATTAGACTCTATCCAATTTGCCAGTTGAGTTGCAGTATATGTTTCTACTAGTTTTTTTATATTATTCAGATTTTGTTCCATAAAGGTTCCACGAGTGTGGAGGAGAAGAGGTCCGCCGTGTCATAGCCCCCGGTAACACGGTAAGCCCACAGTTACTCACTGAGGTGGAAAGGTATCTGTGAGGTGCAATGCTAAAATACAGTCTGGTACCTCCGACTGCAAACAAGTTCTATGAATAACCGCAGTTCCGGATTGGACTAGCAGACCGAGTCCAATTACCTAAAGCTACCGGTTGGCGGAAGCATGTCAATCACACAGAAGAATCCAGTATTACGAAGCCAGCAAGTGCATCACCAACTATCGAACATATGATGAACAACGACGTGGATCACGACATATTACAGTGCACCTGGACAGACACCATTAGTGAGCAAAGTACATCACCACCACCGCCAGTAATTGACGAACTATATGCAAAGTTGATGAGCAATGTCCCCAGAGAGTCTACTAAAAAGGAAGTCATCAACAACTGGCCTAGAGAGATAGAAATGGCTATTCGTGAAGCCTGTAAAAAACGAAGAGTAGGAAGGCGTCTCAACTTCATACGGTGCGTGGAAAATAAGAAGTATCAAGTGCAAATTAGCCGAAGAGGGGTAATCAATGTATCATTAAAATAAAGTTTTAGTTTTCTTTTCACTTTCTGAAGAAGGAGGGAAATGTAACGACATAAATTTTTACAATAAATTTTTGTGTTACATATTAGCTAGAAGAAGAAAAAAATAAAGTCTGTATGTTAAATAACTGCCACCGCTACACATAATATATTTAATAACTCACGTGAAAATAACTGAAGTAGACTTAGTTGAAAAAAACATAAAATTGAATTAAAATGTTATTCAACATATCATGGACATTACCTGCGATCCTCGAAGCCAATGTACCGCGAGCATAGCTACATGCAATGTGCAGATGCTAATAAAAAAAATTTAAAAAATTTTTATTTTTGTTTTAAATTGTTTAATGAATGAATGAATGAAAGAACTTGTAAACACAGCAACAATGAACCATTATTATAAAACATGTTTAATTTTTTAACAAATAACTATTTGAAACAAATTTATAAATAAAAAGAAAAAAAAAGAACAACAAACACGAAATAATTTCAACATTCTTGGTTGTACAAATTTATTTTATACACATAAACAAAACAAAACAAAACAAAAAAAACTCCGGCACCAACTAAGCACATCAACACTAGTTTTTATTATTTCTAATTTGTTTAATTATATCTTCACATTTGGGGTTAAATATTATTGAATCCACAATATAAATATTTTTTACCTTGGTTTAAAATTATTAATTTACTTTATTTTCACTAATTTTAAGAAAACACACACAAAACACGGCGCGTAGTAAAAGTACTAAAAAAAATCACGGCGAAGTAGAAGAAAAGGAAAACAGTAGAACATAAAGTTCAACTTCACGGCGAAGTCAAGTACAGCAATGAATACCGGTACGCTACACCAAAAAGCTCCGGTATGCTTGATATAAAAGGAGGCACATTTCATATAATCGAGGACTTGGTTTTCGACAAGTAAAAGAACAAGTACTCTGGCTCATTGAGCCTTCTGGTAAATTTTACCAAAGACTTGCAATTTTATTTTTCCAAAACAAGTACACTGGCCTATTGGTCATCTGGCACATTGTGCCAAAAACCTGGCTCCTTGAGTCAAACGTAGTTTAAAATTTTCTTTCTCGTCTTATGTGTATTATATTTTTTTAACCTGGCTCATTCGGCCAAATAGTTTTTTTTTCACAGCACGGAGTAAACGTTTTTTTTTATTATTGTACAACAGAGGAGGGGCTCAGGAAGTCACACTGGGGTTGCCAAAAATCTTTTAACAAGTAATATATTGAGAAGTAAAAAATTCTGGCGTCAACATATTTTTTTTTATTATTAAAAAGCAAAAGGAATGCTTTCAATGAATGATCACTTATTATATGCTAAATAATTTATTTAGAATTTGTTTAATTAAACTTTGTTAATCATAAGTTTTTTTTTATGGAATAAATAAAGATATATATAATTTATATATATAAACAACGTTCTTTTTCTTCTAAAACAACGTCTCAGCGAAACTATAAATAAGTTGTCTCGACTCTGGACGACGGCTGAGGATACCCCAGCAAAAACTAAAAATTTTTGAACGTTACCAAAAAGTGTCGTTACACATTGCAATAATAGTCAACGGAAAATATACTATCACTCTTAGCGATTTTCTGCAAAACGGACACAAAAATGTGCTCTTAGGATAAATCACTTCAGTCCAATTTATATCTAGAACAGGTTTTGACTGCTACACACCCCTTAACGAAATGTCGATGCAGCTCAAAATTTCTCTAATCTGCGTTTCCGATTATAGGAATATTTTCGGCAATTGCAGACTAGACGAGTACTCGGAACAGCTAAAGAATCTGGGCGTATCGATAAAATCATGCAAATTGAGATGTTATTTGAGATGGTATTTGTATTTGT